CTTGTGTCCAGTCAACACAAACCGAGTGACTGACGTATAAGTGATGAATTCACTCGCATTTCTTTTGCTCAGAGGGTGCGTGGATTCGAATATTCATTTGACTACTTGATGATGAAGCACTGGTAGGGATAGAGGGGCAGTATGAATGACTTGCATCACAGAAACAAAGAATCTTGAAAACATGCCCAGCGGTGTTTGTACCTCGAATTCCAAATAATGAACAAGATGCAATTGAGGCCATCCCATTTACCATGTCCATCCGCTGCTTGTCGGTCTGGAATAGTAATCATATATTTTCTCCCCCCCCCCAGATACTTAGTATTCACTCAAGATTTCTGACTGCTAGTTGTAAGTTTGTGTTGTAATGCATAACGTCCTCCAATGGTCGTGAATTTCGGTAGGTCCTGGATTGTTTGAAAATTACCCGGTTAAGGCCTCAGGCTAGTTGTTCAGCCCACAATCCCTTACTTCTCTTGTTGTGTCACATTTGCTTATTTGCTTGCGAACAAACCTTAGCTACCAAGTGGATAACTCTGTGAAGTCGCCACTCGAGGATCCAGTCATTACGTGACTACCTGATGTGTTGTCTGCTGTGTCCCTTCTGAGTGTGAGCTAAACCCATTGCTATTCAGCCGCCCGACGGTTAACTAATCAACCACTATGCGGAAGGTCAAAGGTTAGAAACTCTCTGAGTTTTGTGAGATGCGCTCTAGTGACGACTCCCCACAAGGATGAAACAGTTGTGGAGTGCTTCTCGACTTTTCAGCGTAGATATGCTTCGTTGAGAGCATGAATTCTCAGTTAAAAGTCACCAAGTCTCCCTATACACCATCAGACGAAAAGGACTCTATACTCCATTGCTGTGCATTTGTCAGGTGAATGTTTGCTGGGCGGAAATTAAATGAATAGTGACTTTCCCACCAACGCGCTTGTCTTTGCTATCCAAGTCCAATCTGGGCGGTTCGTTAAACCAGATTGAAGACGAGATTATTAGAATGATACCGAAATGGTCAGTGACAGCTGTTTTCAGAAACTGTATTCAGTAGTCTCGGGTTTGCTTCTTGGAAAACGTTCGTTAACAGGAGCACTAGGAGAGGAGGACCCCAGTGTTCCTCCGGGTGAAGGCTAAACCACACAACAAGCATCGTAGTTAAAAACGCTCTAGACCTAGTCTTCAGCATGTCCACTGGTCCAAAGAAAATTAGACAAACCAAATTCCACGGCAGTAACAGTCGAACGCAGTAATAAGTCACCTGCCACTCTAAGTGAAAACACACGTGAGTTGTTGCGATGAGACCAAGTTCAATCTAAACATTCTTGGTGCGTTGTTTTAATGTTGGCTTTGGTGATGCTATCGTAGCCATTTGGGCATTCTGACTGGTCGTTAAAATGACCAGGTCGCCGTACCTGATGATGAGTGCACGCTAGGCAGTCAAGAAGTGTTCTACTGATGGAGAATTAATGAAGGCGAGTCCGATAAAACTCATTAGGTTTTTCGGTTGGAAAGTTTATATTAATGAACCAAACGCTTTACTCGTTGGTGAAACGCAGGATGCTATTGCATCTCGCATAATGCATTGCGATTTCTCAGGAAACTCCATTTTCCACCACACAACAGGGTGGGTTGCGAGCGTGGCTTGCTTGCGTATCTTGGTAATGAAGGCATTCACGCGTTATCTGCATGCTAGATAAACTAAATTGTAAATATTCAGTGAGCTGTCATAGACTTCCAAAACATGACGGTACCGTTTCAGTGGAACGCTTATGGTTTCTGCTTGCCAGGATACAAGAAGTCTGGGCCATCCTTGAAGAAGAGTTATCCATATAGCTGGTTAAGTTTATTTTTTAAAATATTTGAGTACAAAGTCGGTTCTATAGAATGTTTTAAAGCAAACAACTACAGCACACTAGCGCGTTAAGACTGAAAGTTACTTTACTTTCTGCTGTTCTGCCTTGTATTGTTTTTGTATATTTTGAAAGGTCTGTTGCACATCCCAGACCCTCCGCTTTATTGAGACAAGACGGAAGTCCGTGTTGCATTTCCAGAGTATTTTTCTCTCCCGACGCCTACCAGGTGGCTCCAAGCAAATGATTTTTCATCGGTCGCATACACGAACTAATCAAAAACAAATAAATTCAGCGCCCATAAGCACACCGCACCTACACTTTTTAGTTAAGAAGAATATTTTACATTTTACGTGTAACTGGAAAACGCCTGTCGGCGTTAGTGGTCGTCTATGCATGATTAGTTTGGAGACAAGTCAGTGAAGAACGTCACTGACGAGCATTTAGTGATTCCTGAATGTGTAACTGGAAAACACCTGTCGGCGCTAGTGGTCGTCTATGCGTGATTCGTTTGGAGACAATTTAGTAAAGAATGTCACTGACGAGCATTTAGTGATTCCTGAAAAAAATTCTAGGCAACGCTTAGTCCTGTGCACTAGGCAGTGCGGGTTTGCACATCACATGCTACCAAGACGTTTACATCCAAGATCTCTGGAATTATACCTGTTTTCTCAGTATATTTTTGTCATTTTGCTTGTATTTGTCGTGATGCCCACGTGAATATATCCTACAGGCCTCTCTCAGGATGCCTCCAAATGTCCATTTCAAGCATTCAAAATGGTACATGTCATTTCCTCAATAGATTCACAAATTCATCACCAGTTTCTAATCAGCTGCTTAACTTATGAAATGGGTCACTCAGTTGCACTTTATTTTCTTTGGTTTTCTCGTGCTTACTAATATTTTGTAGGTAGCTTTTGAAACGGACACCGAGAGGATTTTGTACAGCTCCATGGTAGTGGGCTGTCAGGCATTGTAGGATACAGATATGGGCATGTTGTCCACTCTCGTTGGGAAAAATCACGTGCTGGAACTTAAGGTGCGCACCGCACTGGCAGAATCTAAAATGTGAACCTAAACTATGCGGATTAGAGTTTTAACTAGTGTGTGTGGGCAGTCAGTAAGTACACGCTTGATTTGAACGGTACCAGAAATGGTCCTGGTTGGCCCCGATTGTCTAATTGCCCGATATCGTCATATTCAGCTAATACAGGCGGTAAAGCTTAGGAAAATCGTGAGATCAGTTAAACGATTTCGTGTGGCTGAAAGGACTACAACGAGTATGATGATCACGTCCATCTACCGTCATTTTTATGAATGCTTATAAGTTACTATAAAAAGTATTTGTTACCTACCGTCGAAACAGCCCACTGCATGAAGTTTCGTTGTTCAGAAGCACGAAGTAATGTGTAACTGGAGAGGGATACTACTAGGAAAATGTTTGATCTTGTAGTTTATTCAAAAAGAGAAGCTTCTTTAGACGCGACATCTTATGGAACTTGGATTTACTCATCCTATTACACGGCTTTTAATTCCACTCCCTCATAAATGTGGATGACTGCCTGTAAGCCAAGGATGGTTGCTTTTATCACGCTGAATTTCCATCTGCTTTGACCGTGTCTACAAGAAACGAATTTGTCCATTAGTGAGCTGAGTCCATACTGAGAATAATGCATAGGACGGATGGATAACTGGGTTAGGCTCACTGTGCCTCCTTTTCTCTATTGTGCCATTTTGCATATACTACAAATATCGGCGTGAATGTTGTGTAACTTTGTGAATCAGATGGGGCGATATTCAATTAAATATCGATTTTTTCTCATCGTTATAGGCATGTTGTGCTACGCCTTGATCTTTACTCATGCTCCCACAACATGCATATTCCAAGTGGGAGAATAGTAGTACAAACAGTGAGGCTGTCAACGTGGCCTGAGCATTTAAATTTAAATTTAATATCATTCTTGTCACTTCATGTTTTGAATTATCTGAACTGGTGATGCTTTTGTTCAACGGAGTGACTTCCCCAACTGGTAACAATTTTATCCGTGGTGCCATCAGCCGGCTCGCTTTATCTGTTGCATAAAGCGAACCGGGTAAGCAAGGGTGGGCTAGCTATAACGTTTCCGCTCTTCAGGTCTCCCAAAGTCATGCTTCCCCTAGGTATTCGGTTGACGGAGATATCTCTGTGAATCCATTTCTAAGGACTGGTGAGACCCGACCATCGCCAATTACCGTTAGTTTCGTTAGCTACGGTTAACTTGGCAATTGTGGCCATAACCGCTCTAAACTCATTCTTCAAACCCCAACCATCAGTTCACATAAGGCCAGCGGAGCATCCGTATTCCCATTTGGTTTTGCATTCATTGATGATGATGATCAACTGTCCTTTCGTCGTTGTCACTGGAGGCATCAAACGTCTAGGGGAACATATTTTACTTCCATTATACCTGAGAATTCAGACTGATGTGTACATAGGAAGGTGAGCTGTAACCAACCAGGCTGGCTCAATGTAAAAGCAAAACTTCCATGCTGGAATCATATCACAACTATTTACACAACAACGGAGGTTATGTCAAAATATCGAAACTGATACGGTACTCCATAAGAATTTCGACTCCTTTGAAAAGCTTGCATGGTGTCCGCCTGAATAATCGTATTTCCTATCTGTGTGGAGGCAATTCACACAATAGTCTAGTGAAAATCAGCGCAATCACCAACTGTTCAGCAAGTCCCTTGTGAAATAATTGTGCAAGGTTTTCACTATTCTACTCCCCTTGACACATATTTGGCTCCTAATAGCGTGGGCTCTGAGCGAAATGCGAACAGGTTTATGAGCTATGCCGTGGAGGGCATAGGTCATCAAAAAGAAACCTGTTGTGCATTCCTCCCCACAGGGACCCATCAGCAGGATGTCGTAATTTTCTATCTCTTGATGTTCGGGTTCAAAGTTCGTACGCCGATCTTGTTTATGCGTGTGTGCACACGAGAAAACCGGAATTTTCTTAGTGGAGAATGAGGCGCGCTGGTATAGCTTTTCAGGACTTAACTACTCCCATACTCGTATCTCGGTAACTGATAGATCATCTGTGCCGACCGCGCAAGCTGAAGACACTTCTAACTGTTCAGCCAGATTTCAACCAGACCGTCCAACTTACCGTTGTGAACTGTTCACTGAAAAACTCTACCATCATACAATTAATATAATCACCGAAGACGAATGAGTCATCTGTATCCGACTTACTTGGCAACTGGAAGCATTGATATATCCACAAACTGAAGAACAGCACAAAGGTGCATGTGAAGAAGATCACGAGAGCAAACAACAAACGCTGCCAGAAAGTTGCCGTGAACTTCCACCACATCAATGGTGGATATTCCTGCTTTCCACGATGTAGGATGGCTTTGTTACCGTCCAAAGTTTTCTCTGAGAATGTAACCTTAGTGGTACTCATTGCTTATGACTTTTCGACGAAGTGAACAACGAATCTGTTACGAAAAATGCAGGACAAACACGCACACTTTAAGCCCTTCAGCTTTGTTTACTAGTATCCACGGTTTTTCATTGGTGATTTTGTTTATATAGACCTTGATCAGTTCTCGGTGGCTTCCAAATCGATTCTTGCTATATATATGGACGTAGAGAAAAAAATGAAATTCCTTGTCACAAGTTCTGTGAGGACAAAATGGTGTGGTATTTTGAGGTTATCGATCAGTAATGAGTGCCGTGGAGCCGGACGTCACAAAAGTTCTGCTTTACAAGGTCAACTGGTCCTACATAGATAGTCACCTTAATGCTGTCTGCAACCGATGGCTTAAGCTGATGATGTTGGGTGCCTCAGCGTATGAAGATATATGTTACAATTGTACTTTAAAGAACAAGCACTGTTTGCGTAAACTATTTGTGATTACTTTAGGCAGAGATGCTTGAAGTCAGATAAAGACGTTTTGTATGGAATAACATTTATTCAACAGCGGTGCGTAGCTAATAAGAACACTGATTCAACTATCGCAATCGCGAAGTGAGTGGACCTTATCGTCGCGCAACAGTTTTCCCACCTTGGTACCACATTGGATTATAGTGGTGGATGCCCATGCAGCATTCACAGTCTGTCTTACCACAGTCGTCAATGGGTGAAAGTCTGATTGTTTGTCTGTCCACCGAGCTTGGCAGCTGGATTGTAAGCGGCTCAGTTATTGGGACATCTTCTCCTCGAAGTTGAGGACACCGACGGTGTCACCTCGACTGGTGATGCCAAGTTTGCAATCCAACTGCAAAGCTAGGCGAACAAATCAGTAACCAAGCAGCACACCCAAGCCACCTGTATTCTGTAACCTCATCACCTAAGTTTGATGATCTCCCTCGCTTGTAGTTTTTGAGTTTGGAAAAATCGCAGCAATCTTTTCCTAATATTTTGAATGCCAAAATAGTTTCACCCCTACCACCGCTGGATTGCAGTCAGGCTTTTGAATGAGCCGCCCTGACAATAATTTACCCCACATGCAGTTTTGAACTTCACAAAGGCAAGTACCATTATGCAACATCGGCCATCGAGTGAAGACATCATCCGGTTGCCTCATTCGCTCTAATAGCAGATCGTATTAGTGAATTCGTGCGATCGCGTACGTCTGCCATCTTTCTTCGTTCTTATATCTTAGCCACTCTCCCGTCTTTTTTGATAATCACCCAGCTGCAGGTGTATCATTGAAACAGCTATGAAGGTGACCAATTTCACACCGTTGTTCACACAATCGCTGTAGTTTCAATCGTCAGAGATCGTTCCTCCATTTTAAAGACGCCGTTGCCGCTTGAGCCCTTAAGGGAGCTGCCAAACAGCCTGTTTCTACGAGAAGTTTTGGTACTTTATTGGCAGACTGCATGTGTTGCATTTCTGAAACCCGACTACATGTCCTAAAACACCCTTGCTTTATCCATGCGATTGGCTAAAAATTTGAGTGATTTTTCAGCTGCAGTAGCACAAAGCTTTGGTGTTCGCATGACACTCAACTCCGGATCCGAGGCTTCATTGTTTAAACGGACAACTGTAAACTATGGCCTGTATCGTTCATCTGTCCACTCCTAAGTGGACTCGCATCTGACGATTGGACGATTGATATTGGATGGATCATCGCTATTGAATGATAGTTTCTGATTGCACACAAACGAAACGTTCCTACGATTCTTTGAGAGGTTATTTTTATCCGGAAATAACCACTCTCCTATTCAACACAAAGACTACAGATGTTTACCTAATTGCAGGAGATTTCTGTTTGTCAGCAGAATGTGCTAATTCAGGTAAGGTGGAGTTCAGTGACAAGTTTCATCTGGACACAAGGTGGATCAATAGTAGCTAACGTATTTTACAACTTTGTGACGGCCGCCGGTTGTTCCTGGGCGGTTTGAATACTGCGGGCTTCGCTATGCTGCACAATTGCTCTGTTTTTGAACTTTTGTGGAGCAATATCGAGCAAGTAGCCGTTATATAGCGTTGGACATGAGTACACGGCTTCCAGTCATACTGGAATACAAGTTTTGTTCCTTGCCATGCTTTCATCCGATACAGTCTATCACTGTACTTAAAAAAATTTTGTATTTAAATTAAGAAACAGACTTCCCTTTTGACAGTCTAATGGCTTTCTTGGCTGTGATAACTTCGAAAGAAAATAATCGTAGCTGGAGAGGGGTGTGATTCTGGAAACTTGTTATGTGGTATTTTCGAAGGTGTATATGTCGACCACCAGACTTCAGAACGGTCGCTGTCACTGACTGATAACAGTCTGCATTCCTTGAGAAGCGCATCATAATTCAGCCAAAGAGCCTGCGAGCCGTCATCTCAAGTGAAATTTGTGCAACTGGGATTGCGTGGTGGAAACAGCGGGCTCAGTGCAGTGAGGAATGCGCTTACCCGCAAAACAGGACGCACTCATCAACGATAAAATTGGGATTCTCGTATGGAAGAAAAGATACCATCTGAGACAATTTGTGGAGCAACAGCTCGGTTGGTCGGCGGCTTCTGTAGTAAGGTTTTTATTCGATCCCCTTAAATACAGCAGTCAAACCTGAGCCAAGATCACCTCAGTTTGTAAAGGACTAATATAGCTTTCTGCACTCGAGTTCCGTCGGTATGCTGGGAAAGCTGTGCCTACAATAGCGCCAAATGAAAGCGTTGTTGAGTCGTGTTCTTCTGCATTACCTGCCTGGGAACAACTACAACCAAAAACGCCCATAAGTTAATTTGAAAAGACACACAGTTCCAACTTTAAGCGCATCAGCCTGACGTCTGTCCTACCGCACCTACTGGCAACAGTGTTACTGCAACGTCCAGATGCGGCAAATTAGACAAATTCGAGAGCTTTATTTGGTGTTCCGACTGCGTAAGCGGTGCGCGGATCATATCTCAGTATTGCGCCGATTGTTTGAGCAAAGCCAGAAATAACTTAAGCAAACAGCGAGAGTTTTCCTTGATTTTAAGACCAGTTCTTCTTCAGAGGAATGGCTCAGGAGTTTTATACTGCACCACTTGCTCCCTCTTCCAAAATTTCTGATCGTGGAGTCGTTTACAACTAACCCTATACATTTTTTACACAGCTTGTGGGGTTCAGCAAGGCTGTTCTCCACCGACCTGTTCAGTCATGCCATCGATTTTATATTGCAGTGTACACTTGAAGACTCTTGGTGTAGGAATTACAGGGAGCAAAAGTTACTAGGACCACGCAGACAATATTACCATTCCATTAGACAACCATAGTCTGATCAGTCGGAATGGGATTTCGGAAATCAAGTGAGTTTTCGGGTTTTTTTCCACTGCCGAAGTGCAATATATCGCCTCGGGATGATGAGTCATTTACGTCCCTCTGGAATTACAGTGAGCGCTTTGTGAGTTCGTCGACGGTTCAGGTATCTATGCAACTGCATAAACCTTGATAGCACCGTGACAGAAGAAATCAATGCATGCATTATCAATGAGCCAGCAGTATTTGCTAACTTTCTTGATCAGTGAAGAACGAATTTGTCTGAAGCTCAAGGTAGCTTCAAGAGCCCTCGTACACCTTGATTGTGAAATATGGCTGCTCGAAAACCAGGGCCTTAAATAAATTCAGCGGTGTGGTCATTGGTACCTTCTTGGTATAGGAGGCGTCAGTTGACCATGGTGTCCAGGTGAGCGACGAATAAACTCTTAAGGATATTTTTCAATGTCGCCCGGCTTTTTAGGAGAGATTCGACTCAGTGACAGAGCGAAATTCCAGTCAGAAGCTCTTTAGGTTTGGATGGCTTGGACATGCCCTACACAAGGTCAAGTATCATCTGCTAACGACATATTTGCTTTCAACTCCAAACTCTTGCTAACGAAAGGCTTGCTGAGAGTATACAGTGACTTGTCAACATAAAATCAAGGAGGTTATCGTGAAACAGCGTGCGGTTGGATCTTCGCACACTCTCAAGTCCAAATCATCTTCTTGGAGTGTTGTTACAAGCCCCACGGGACATGGCGTGCAAGATAGCTTATTACAGTGCAAAATGTTACCTCGTAAGCCGACTGTTTATCAAAGGTTTATTCGTCGTAAGGTGGGCTTATTTTGATCGAGGTTTACGAAGGACGTTTTGGCCATTCCGACTACTCGGGCGTTAGTTTGATACGATGCCGAGGTGCGTTGATCACCGAAATACTAGGCTATGGCATCGGTGTTTACTATGGAATTGTTCACTATGTGTGTATGGCAGCTAATCACAGTCATATAGTACTGGTGTGTTGTTGCTTGTACTGGTAACGCCTTATAAAAAGCAATACTAAATCTTCGGCTTTAATATATCTTTTGAAGGGCTGTGCTGAAAATGCTTTGGCTACCATCTGTCTTCTCCGGAATCGCACTTAAAGTGTTCTGCTCTTGGTGTATCTCCTTGTTTAAAGGGAGCTATACAGGTGCCAAGTGGGTACCATACTAGATGATGGTATGAAGTGCACGGTGTCACAAAAGCGTAGGACTCATAACGGTGGTTATAACCAATAACCAGAGGTTTTTCCAATTCATTAGCAACCTAATGTCGTAATAAAATGATGTCGTAGGCCATTGAACTTCCAAAAAAATTTGAAATCATTCCGGGTGCTTTATCCCATAAAATCTGTTTACAGGAAATCTCCAAACTCATCACGTAATCCGTCGCTGTAAGGTGTGGTCCTCAGACTGTGAAAACACACACCCGAAATATATTGGACGTTTCACAATGGAATAATGAACAGAGGAATATTCAGCATGGTTGGTTTGGACATTAGAACGAGATGTGCATCAAGTTGAAGATGGCTTGCCGTACAGTCGAAAGAAATATGCTGTGAACATTCTTGAAACACAGTTGATTTTCACGACCCATCCTAATGTTTGGAGATGTATGACTTCGTTTGAGTTCTGCCGCTGCGTTTGGGTGCTACGGCTGAGAGATGGACAGTACACAAATGAATGCCAAAAACAATGCTTCCATGAGAACGAAGCCTCAGTGAAAGGGGAGAGCTTCTCACGTATGCACATAAAATCTCACAAATTTTCCTAAAATGCCGTATCCGAATGGGTTAGTCCCTTTGCTTTTGACATTTAGTTTTTTATGGTTAGTCTAACTGTGATCACTCTCTGACAGTACAACTTTGATACGTCAAGAATAGATAGACACAGGCAGGAATGAAACTTTCTCTATATAATCTCGTTCGGCTGTAGCACATTTTCGGTGCCCAACTTCCATGCCACCAGAAGGAAGCACGAGGTCTGGGATACCGCCAGGTTGCTCAAGCTTAGACAAGGAAAGTTGAGAGGCAGTGGTCGGGTTCGAACAACGGACCATACGGTCAGTAAATTTGCTCTCTTAACACTGAGATATCTCGCACCCTATATATAATCTATATGTAGTCCTTATACCATAAATTTGGGCAAGTACAGTGGGCACGGTAACCAATTTTTTCATAATTTTATTCCCTTGTACAGCGCCATGTTTGAGAACCAGATTAACCTTTTGTTTCGCCGTGGCATATTTTTTCAACTTGCTCTTTTGGCAACACTTCTAGCGAGACCGTTCCTCTGACCTCTTTTAATTTCCAAGTCTAGATTAATTGTCTCAAGTTGTGACGCCCATTAGTAATTAAGAGGCAAATTTCGTTCTCCCATCAGTTTTTGTGTCTTTCCATTTGTTGTTTTAACTGACGTAAACGTGTGCAGAGCCAGCTATCGAGCCCAGCGATGCGTGACAACTTAGGCAGTTGCTCGGGGGCATATAAAGGCCGAATCAT